CAAGACTCCCAGCATTATTCAATCTTTTTTATATGCCAGTCACAGCAGATCTTTCATTTTCAATATAATGTTATTTCTATTAAGTCCTAATGCAAAATCTTGTCATTGAACATATGTGGTGTGGATGGGTGTGTTGCAAATGCAATCAGTTAATTGGCATAGTACAGCTGAAATGGCTCTGCTTTCTCCATCCCCAATTTTCCCGCAGAATTGCTCTTGTCAAACATCTTTATGCTGGAGATTTACAAGGTAAAGGTACTATTTGTTAGGTCAGACTTGGCAACTTATGGCCTCTACATGAGGCCTAGATCCCTGTGCCTGGACTTGGCTTCTTCAGTGAAGAACACACCTCATTTCTGAAAGGGAAAGGCCCTCCAGTTTCGCTTGCTCAGTGTTCATGCAGCGTGGTTTTTTCTCTGCTGATGGTGCCTCTGGTTGTGCAGACTACAGGTCCCCCTTCCCCTGTGGAGAGCCTCATAACTGAGGCTCTGATGTTAAGTCTAAGGTGAGGCAGTCACCTCCTTTCCTTTACCTGCCGAAATGCATGGCCCTCAGACTGAGGTTACCATCACCACGAGGGAGTAACAGTCCAAACACTTACTCATTCAAGTAATCTTAGAGATGTTAGCTTTAGCTGTGGTTGTTATTCGGAGGTCATGGGTGGAGAGTTGCATTCCAGGCACCAGATTAGGAAGCAGAGGACCCCACACAGCTGCTTCTTCCTCAGTGAAGCAGTATCTCCCTTTGTCCTTTTATATTAATGGGCGTTCTCAAATGATCTTGGATGCTCTTTATTCCTGCTGATCTTTTAGGAGACACTGGAGTGGGAGGCACTCCTTTCATGTCACCTTTCTGCAGGCAGGTTTCCGATATGATTCAAGGCCACTTCCTAGGCAGGGCATCTGGTTTCTACAGCTCAGAGAATGACTGCCCCTGCTAAATTGTTCTGAGTACCAAGGCTGTTGCTGTCTTATTGCATTCTCTATTTTCCAATTACCCCCTCCCCCCACATACACACACATAGTCTTCAACCCATTAGACTCCATTCCCATGTTGCACCCAATCAGTTTTCTGACAAAACACATTGGAGAAAGCTAAGCCAGCACAGCACCTGATGCACTAGATGCTCAAAAAATTTCTGTGAATGGAAAGCTTGGGAGCTCTGGAATGAGGGATGGAGGTGGGGATTACACCTCCAAACCTCTGCAGGTTCTCACAGGGCACATGCTAGTGACAGAGTCAGGCTTAGGGGTTACTTGAGGAAGAGACACACGTTACACTGCTCAACAATTGGCTCCTTGAAGGGAGGGCATGAATAGTGAGCTCCCAACTCTGTGAGTACAACTGCCTAATGGGGATAATGTAGAAAAAGAATGAACCCCAAGTGGGTAAATAGATTAGCAAGTCTTCAGGGTCCCTTTCTGTTACAGAATTTACCAGATGACCGGAAAATACACACACAGGAGTACTTGGAGACACAGGAGAAAAACCATTTATTTCCGGATGTACTAGTACCATGACTCAGGGAAGCCTGTTTCCAAATCCTGAGTAAACCAATATGGAGGAAACTTTCTCTTTATACTCTTTCGCCTCTTTGTTCCCCAAATAAGGATCAGACTTCCGGATCTTTCAAGGACTTTGCAAAAATGCCTGTGTGTTGGGATGGGGGACCTAAAGGCCTGGCCTGGAGCCAGCGCTGATAACCCCCTCTGGGGGTTGTGTATGGTTCATGGTTTATGGCCTCTGTAAAATGTGAGTATTTAGGTAAATAGGTCTTGCAAGACCAGACAATTAAGGAAGGGGCAGCGACTCGACCATAGGCTAACCAGAATGTGCACTGGGGACACTGATTAACTAACAGAGTCGGGTCGGGCTGCTAACCGGCCCGCCCCCCCCCCCCAACCCCCGTCTTATTTTCCTCATCATTTCAACCCTAGGATTTTATGAAATTCTTGAGGGAGGGAAAAAAGGAGAGGCAGAAAGAAAAAGAGACCAAAGAGGAGAGAGGGGAAGGAAATGAAAGAATACAATTTAAAAGGAGACAAGAAGGAAGGCCAGAGGCTGGGGACCATTTTGTGCCAAACGTTGAGACAGAAATGGGAGAGTTCTGAGAGGACTGGTATCTCAATGGGCAGTCAGTGGAGTGTCATGGCACGCTGGTCTTTTACCTCCAGCACCCACCCATTCCTGTCTTATGGGCAAAGCCTTTGGGCCTGACCTTGCTCAGGGAGCATGAGGCCTAGATGAGCAGTGTGTGTCCATCCTTAGGAAGCTTGGCCCAAAACAAAGAAGTGACAGACCCTTCAGCATCTCTGCACATTTCCCTGGGGGGTACTCAGAATCCTAGAGGGGACAGGAAGGATCTCTTCTTCCCTTCCCCCCATTCCCTTGGACAGACGATTGGGTGGGACCAAAACAATAAGCACCTGGGGCTTGTGCCCAAATAAAATCCTGTGGGTGGATTCCTAAACCAATCATATGAACTGGGCCAGTCCCTGTCCCAGCTCAAAGGCAGCATTTTCAGATGGAATAAATCAGTCCTTTCCTAAAAGATTATATTCCTGAGCTGTGTCCCTGACAGGGGGGTAGGCTCCAGAGGCAAGGCTTGGGCTGTGGCTCTCAGAAGGGAATTTTCCCCTAGGAAAGCTTTGCTGGTCTGCACAGGGAACCTGGGCCCAGTCCTAGGGAGTGTCAGTCACCACCTCTGCCAGGACACAAACTTAAATAGCTGCTGGGTGTCTGGACTTGGGCCTGGTCCCCAGCCTGGACTGGTCCTATTAGGAAGACCTAGCACCCACAGAGGGAGTAGGATGGAAGCTTCATTTGCTCCCTTCATTTCTATTCTTTTCCTCTTCCATCTCCGTTCCTGGCCACTCCCTGTCCTACAGGGAGATTTAGCTGAAACACACAGCCAGTCAAACCACAGCACTTTAGGCTGATCTTGATCCAGAGCACAGCACCCACTGTGGACCCCTCTGTCTCTCCTGTGCCCCACCCAAGAAGCCCCCTTTCTGAGTCTATTAAATCAGTGTGCTTTCAACCTGATTCCACCTTAGCCCACCTGGCAGCCTCGCACACCCTTACAGTTGTCTATGAACCATTCACTAAGCAATCCCCTCCCCTCCCCCCACAACAGTCCTGCACAGGCACTAGGCTCCTGGGCTAAAGGTACCAACTTGTTCTGTGGAATCAACTTGCCAGGTTGCCCCTTCTCTGCTCTCTATCATTTGCCTGCTCTGTAGCTAGTTATTTGTGACTTCTTTTGTGCAAGCCACAGAAGTCTTTCCTGTGAATCTCTCCATTGGCTTTTCAGAGACTTTAAGAGGCTAGTGTTGAGACAGAAACTAGGCAGTCCTCTCTCTCTCTCTCTCTCTCTCTCTCTCTCTCTCTCTCTCTCTCTCTCTCTTTCTCTTTCTCTCTCTCTCTCACACACACACACACACACACAGCCACACCCCAAGACAGTGACAGGATCAACCCAAGGAGAATTGTGCAGACACACATCTACTCACACACCCCAGGCAGTGGTTCTCAACCTTCTGGCCCTTTAAATACAGTTCCTCATGTTGTGACCCAACCATAAAATTATTTTCGTTGCTACTTCATAACTGTAATGTTGTTACTGTTATGAATCGTAATGTAAATATCTGATATGCAGGATGGTCTTAGGCGACCCCTGTGAAAGGGTCGTTCTACCGCCAAAGGGGTCGCGACCCACAGGTTGAGAACCGCTGCCCCAGAGTTTCTTCTGTTCAATCTGCAGAGACACCCCCCCACCCCCCCACCCCCGTCCTTGCGAGCCCATCTCACTCACTCCGCCTTCCCCCAGCTCCCCCGTCCCCCACACACTGGAGGCACAGGGAGCAGGCGCCGGCTGTAAACACTGACAAAATCCCGGGACAAACAAACACGCAATTTCACAAAGGATCCCAACGGGAGGGGCCTCCGGGCGCCTTCCTTCTGCGGTTTCCTCGGGCACCCTCCCCCAGGCTTCCTCCCTCAGTCCGCTGACAAAGAGTCACCGAGCCCAGTTCAAATCGATTGTTTTATTGACTGTGTACACACAGACACGCCTCTAGAAAAGGGCGCGCCCCGGGGGTACTCCGCCCTGGGCCGCACTTGTGCTACATTTCGCGGACCCTGATGGTCCTGACGCCCGAAACCCCCACCCCTACCCCGACTCTTTCCTTCAAGAACTAAAAAGGAGCCCAGCCAGAGTCGCCGCAACGCTTCTGCCCTCTCCTCTCCTTCCCTCCCTCCCTCCCTGCCCGCCCGCCCCCTACACTGCACGGTCACACTTTACAGGACACAGACTTCTACGGAGCGCGCTCTTCTAGGACTACGCGCCAGGCAAATACTATAGTCGTGGAGGGGGGGCGGGGCGGGGAGGACCGAGGGTCCTGCTGCGGGTCACCCCAGGCTTTGCGGGAACCGGGGCGGACGCCCTACGAGGGACCAGGCCCGGGAGGCCAGTTACTTCCTATGGGCCCGGAGCTTCTTGAGCTGAGCCTGGGCCCCGAGCAGCAGCGGAAGCGAAGTTGTCCAGTGCACTGATCTCTGGAAAACCCAACTCATCCACAACGAAATTGGCTCGGGACCAAGCCCGTACCCTCGGTGGAAAACAGGCTCGCGGTTCCGAGGCGCTTTAAGTTAGGTGAGAGGGCGCGGGGGTGGGGAGAAACGGTCCCTCGCCCCACAGCGCGCGCGCGCGCGCGCGCGCGCGAACACACACACACACACACACACACACACACACACACACACACACACACACAATTTCCCAGAGGCTGGGAAAAGTGTTAGCACCGGACCGAGTGTCGCTGTCTTTGAAAACAACGAGAATATGAAAATCCGAACGCGAAGCCGAAAGGCGCCCCAGGCACCAGGCTCGGCTCCAGCTGGTCAGAAGCACAGGGGGGCGGGGGAGCAGAAGGGTTTGGTTCCCAGTCGCAAGGGGGCTTTGAAACTAAAAACTAGGGAGTTGTCACCGAACCCTGGCTTCTAGGATATGCACCCCGGAAAGGGCAGGGTAGGGGTGAGGTGGAACCTCAGGGCGCTCCACAGTAGGGACGTCCGTTGGGAGCACCGGGCCAAACCCGGCGCCATAGTGTTAACTTTCAGTTGTTTCCAGCGCCTTCTCCCATTTACTCTGGCTGCACGGCTCACAGTGGGCGGGCTGCGGGGCAGATTTCCGAGAATGTTGCGTAGGAGTGGAGAGGCCTGGATTTCGCCTCACGGTCAGCGATGGTGTCTTATACGAGGAGAGAGGAGCAGAAAACTGTGCTTGCCAGAGGGAATTCAGCCCGCAAGGTCAATGACGATCGTGGGTGCGTGGGGACTGGTGAAATGGTTCCACTCCCCACTAGAAGTCGCCAAGAGTAAGATTGGGGTGGTGGTGGTGGTGAAAGGGCAGAGGAAGTGTGTGTGTGTGTGTGTGGGGGGGGGGGGTAAATCCTGCCAGCCCTAGGCTTCCGCTCCCAGGCACCCAAGGTGGAGGTGAGACTGGGAGGGCAGGGCGGGCAGAAGTTCAGCCCGCCGTCTGCCTGTAGTTGCCGTTAATCTCCTGGGCAATGTTGACCGCCTCGGCACCCAGGGGCAGCCGGTCACTGTACTCGGAGCCCACCTCGAACTCCTCTTGGTTGGCCTTGGACTGGGACTCCACCAGCGAGCAGGCGGCCAGGCTCTCCTCCCTCTGCAAGTCCCCACCCGAGTCCCCCTCCTCCGCCTCTTCGTCAAGGCCCTCCCCGGGAGCCTCCTCTGGCTCCTCACAGCCTGCTTCGCCGCCTGGTGGGTAGCTTTTCTCGGACTCAAGGTAGGAGACACGCGGGTCAAAGTCGGCGGCGATGCGCTTCTCCATGGGGTCGGGAACCTGCGGCCGCAGGATCAGACGATAGGGCTTCCCCGGGTGTTTGGCCAGCAGATGGCAGCAGGCGGCGCCCAGCAAGGGCACAGTGGCCAGCACCAGAAGGAACACGCTTACCACCACGATAACCAGCAGGGAGGGCAACTCCTTCTTGGTAGCGAACACCACTTGCACGTGGCAGGCCTCGCCTGCCTGCGCCAGGCACACGGAGTAGTTGGTGCCAGGCCGCAGGCCGCGGAACCAGTAGGCGTTGACGCCCTCCTCCACCTGAGACCACTGAACTGCTGCACCGCCCCCCGCCGGGCACAGATAGAGCCGGCGCAGGGGTCGCTGCCCAAGCCGCCCAACTCCCGCAGCCCCACCAGGCCTAGGGCCCCAGCGCGCCGCCAGCGGCGTCAGCTGCACCCGAGCCTCGCGCTCCGCCACGTCCAGCGCGATGACACCCAGCTCAAAGACGTGCGGCTTCAGATCGGCGCTCTGGTTGAACGCGTGATTGGACACGTACCGTGAGGGGTCCCCGTGGCCACAGCGCTGCTCCACCACCGGGTCCGCAGAGACCTGGTCTTCCACCTCCTCTCCCTCCCTTGCCTCCTCCTCCGGCCCCGCCTCAGTCTCCCCAGGGATGCTACCCCGGGCTGGGCCTTGGCCTTTGATTTTGCCCTCGGGCTTGGAGGGTAGGACGCTGTTGCCCCGGCCTTTAGCTGTGGACTTGCGCTCAGAGGTTGGGGCCTGCACAGCCGGGTCCCCACTGGCGCTAGGAGCGTGCTTTGGGGGCCCAGCTGCCGACACCACCACGCTTACCGACGTGGAGTTGGCGCCCAGCTCGTTGTGGGCACGGCATGTGTAGATGCCTGCCTCCTTGGCACTCAGGAGGGGCACCAACAGGGAGCCGTTTGTGAGTGCCAGGAAGCGTGGGGTTGCTGGAGGCGCGGGCCAAGCTGGTGCCGGAGACGGAGTTGGAGCCTCCGTCTGCGATGGCCCCTCCCCATCTCCTCCCTCCTCTCCGTCTTCTACCCCGTCCCCGACCCCGTAGTCCTCCCAGCTCGAGACCGGCGGCTCTAAGACTACGGTGCCACCCGGGATCTGAAGTTGCCATTGCAGGCGGGGCGTAGGGTGTCCTTCGGCGACGCAGTGTAGCATGAGAGCCATGCCAGCACGCAAGGGGCTGCCGGACGCCTCGATAGGCTGGTCGGCACTCAGACGCACACTGGGTGGTGCACAGGACAGGACGGGCAATCGGTGCACAGGAACGCCCTGCAGCGCGGTTGGTGTGGCGCACGCAATGGAATCAATCTCAGGTAGCGAGACTCGAGTGCTCTTGGCCCAGACCTGCAGCCACACAAGGCTGCAACCGCAATGGAAAGGGTTGTGATAGAGCTGCAGATGTGACAGTGCGCTTAACGCGTCGAAGGTGCCGGGAGCCAGCGTACGCAGCCGGTTGTTGTTGATGCGCAGGGAGCGCAAGTCGGGCAGAGCACCGAGTGCGTCCCGAGGAAGCGAGCCCAAGCGGTTATGGTTCATTTTGAGCAGCTGCAGCGCGCTCAGGTTACGCAGGTCGCTCCAGGGGAAGCTGGATATAAGGTTGTGGCTCAGGTCGAGGTTCTTGAGCTGGCTCAGCACGGCCAGCGCGCCCGGTTCCACAGTGCGCACCTCATTGTGCGCCAGCCACAGCGACGTGACCTGCGTGACGTTGGCAAAGGCACCGCGCCGAAGCACGGTGATCTTGTTGGCCGACAGACTAAGCGTGGTCACGTTGGCCGGCAATCCTTCAGGCACCTCGTGAAGCTCCTTGTAGGCGCAGTCAGCGAACTGGTGCGAGTATTTGTCCACGCAAGCGCACGGCTCCGGGCACGCTCCCGCCACTCCTAGCAGCGCCCACACTAGCCATACTGCTCCAAAGGGCAGCACTGCGGATCCTGCAGGTGGAAGCGGGGGAAGAGGGGAGAAGGTGACTCCTGAGCCCCAGCTCCTTTCTCCTATCAAGCTCTGCCTCACAGAAGCAGCCTAGAGTAGCTCCCCGCCCCCCAACCTCCTTTATGCCCAGGGGCGTTTCTTGGGCATGGGTGGAGCTCAATAAAAACCTCAGGATTCAATGCTTGCTCCCTCTCGGAGCCCCGACTTCCTTTTCCAGCGGCCTTCTACCTGGCTCTATTTTCTCTGTCTACCCCTAACCCTAGTCCCTCTGCACAGGCTCGGCTGGTCGCCTTGGGCTCTGCACTGAATTTCGAAGCTTTTGTTTAATCCCCTGAAAGGGATACACAGAAAGGGTATTTTTGTCCTTGACCGGTGTCCTCCCTCGTACTCTTTGTCCCATGTACAGCACTTGCACACACGCCCATACAGGCGAACCACAATACAAATACGCTGGGCACTACCATCAAACCACCAACTTCTGCAGGGATTTAGAGGTACACAACACATTTTGTAGACACACAAACAGAGGCACTCAGACATTAACACAATATACACTTGAGACCTCATTGTTCTCTCAGCCCAACCTAGCATTTGTATAGCGTTCTCCACAACGGTGCAAAACGCTTTCCTATTCATTGTAGGAATTAAATAGGACACACGGACACAAGCCCTCATGCAAACCTACCCCCACACAGGGACACAAGGGTGCACCCGCGCTTGTATATAGCCCTCCACTGAGACTGAAATCCCAGTGGATCAGCAATGTGGAGAACTTGTAAGGAAGCCTGCTGGCAGGCCCCTCAGCTGCTGCGACCTAAGCTGCCTGACCTAAGTTGCCTGCTCTGGGTTGCAGCTCCGTCAGGGGAGAACTGGGGGTGCTCAGTCAGCCTTCCATCTGAGGAAGGAGGTCCTGTATGCATGGATCAGGAGCATTGTAGGAACATTACTAACCCTCCTGTGCCCCTACAGCAGAGCCCAGGCAGCTCCAAGGGAGCAGAGGGGTCCCTAGCCTAGCCCATGGGTCCTGGGGACTGCCACACACATTTTTGGTCACACACATTTTCAAAGGCACACAACTTCACCCAGGACACTAGTTAAGTAGGAGAAGGTTCAAGATTCTGCTCCTTTTCTGCAGCTCTAGAATGCCCCAGAGCCCCCTCTCCAATAAAACCTTCTTATCCTCAGCCACATACATGCACTTACACACAGACCCCCATTTCCGCCTAGGGCTCCAGGCAGGTTTGCTGAGACGCCCTATCTTTGGGAACCCTTGCCCCTCACTCCACCTTTCCTCCCAGGGGAAAGCTCCTCCCCCTCTCTCCCTTGTCTCACTGGGTGCAGCAAGTTAGGCCGGGTCTACCCCCACCTGGAGGGAGGTTGTGGGGCAGTCTGAGGCTTACCCGCCATTTGTTGTCTCCCCAAGCACTGCCTGGGGCTTCAACCCCTTCTCCAGACTTGACTTCTCAGAGACGACAGCCCAAGGGCGCTTCCCACATCTGTTGCTGCGACTGTGGGGAAGACGGAAGAGGGACGGGTAAGTTTGGGGTCTCCCCTGGCCCTGCAGCCCCACTTCAGTTTTTCCTTTCGTGTCCGTTCCCTCCACCTCTCCCTGGCTGCAGATTGAAGAGTCCTTCTGCGCGCTCCCGGCTTGGCGGGGACGCGCACAGCCTCTCCCACCTCCAGCATTCTCTACGTTTGTTAACGCCACAGAGGCTCTACCCTGGCAGAGACACTTTTGGCCCCCACACCCACAGCCCTCGGCTGGGCCCTTTCCAGTCCACCGCACCCCATAATCCATGTCCCCCCACACTTACACATCTGCAGACATTACCGCTAGTCCTTATCACATCGCCCCCCCCCACACACACATTAGCACATACCCTCATTCCCTCGTGTTATAATTATCTATCATGTAGTAATCGCATCGATGTGTTGAGCTCTCACTACGGTCACACACATTTTCAAAGGCACACACCTTCACCCAGGACACTCACCATTTCCCCATCTCGCACACACACACATTCATGCGTACTCACCCGAACAGCGGGGCCGCCAGGGCCCGTGAGCTTCGCCGCTAATTGAATCCGAGCCGCTTACACACCCCGCAATACGTGAGACAAACCATCCTGGAGGAATTTGGGGGAAGGCAAGGAGCACAACGAAAGAGGGTCGTGTTTTGCATTTAAACTCTTTTTGCAAATGTAGGTAGGGAGGCAGACAGACCTCGAGTGGGATGGGCCGGGCTTGCGTGTACCCTTCCTTCCCATACCCCACCACCATCCCCACCCCCGCTAGCCGCCTCCTCCCTGAAGCCACATTCAACACGATGCATAATTGATAGTGTTAGCAGAGCATCTCACCCTCCCTACCTTTTTTGCTAGGATCTGGGCGATTCAAGCCTAGGTCTCTCTCCCCCGTCCCCAGCCCCGCCCCTCCACGGCCCCGCCCGTCCAACCCGGCTACTCGAACGCCTGGCCCTGCAGTGCGTACTGGGGAAGCAAAGCCTCCTCCCCACATCCCCCCGCCCACCCCCGCAGTCCACAGCCTACCCTGCCCAGCCTTTCAAGCCGACCGTACGTTTGGTCTTTTGTGGCTACACTAGCGCTGAAACTCACTGCCCAGCCCTCAGACTTGTGCGCGCCGCCAAGAGGGGCCAGACGGGGCGCGTGGGTGTCAGACTCCGCTCCCAGGAAGCTTGCCTGAGCGCATCCAACGCCTCACCCTCAGGTCTTGACAGCTAGAGGCGAAGGGTGCGTGGGGCAGCAGCACCAAAAGGGATGGCTACAAAACGTCTGCTCTTCTTGAGCACAGTGGACTGGGAATACCGATATCTTGATATCTTCTTCACAGCCTCACAAGCAAACACACCGCCAACCCCACCCAGGGTTTCCAGTCTGTACCGCTCTCCACCTTCCAGTGTCTCACACAACAGCCAGCCTCGACATACAATACTCTCTGTTTCCGACTCTCACTCGTTGTCTCTGGCTAAACCCCGACATTTATTTTAGCGCCCAGGAAGCAGAGGGGCGGAGGTAACAGGAATTTGGCTAAAAATTGATTCTTGCCCCCCTGCACTGCCCACTACGACCCTGGAGACAGCGTTGCTGGCCCGAATTAGAAAATGGGTACAGGCTCCCGGACACACACAAAGCTCTCGAACTCCCCAGTCCTTTCGTGGACACTGAGCTTTCGGGTCGTCCTAGGCCCCCAGTCCTCACCCCGGGCTGGGGGGCGGGTGGTCTCTGGCGGTGGGTGTTAGGGCCCTCTGAGAAGCTCAATTTTCAGATTTAAATGTGGGGCATTTTAATGAGCTAGGAGGTGGGGGAGAGAGCCGAGCGGTGAGTGCTGCATCTAAAGAGATCACCGGATCCGGGATCCGAGGATCCTTTGTAAATTAAATATGGACCGACTGGCGCACCCACACTCCGCGTTCCTCCCTTTCTCCACCTCCTACAGCCGCTACAGGAGGCCAAGAGGGCTGGGACCAGCGCTTTCGCTCAGCCCAGACTCAGAGCCAGAACTTCATTCCTCCTACTACTGTAGTCCCCACAGCCGACCCAGAGGGGGGTGTTGAAGGGGTGAGAGCCCCTCGAGCCAGTGGTGGGATGTGGGGAAGGGTCCATAGTTCGGAAGTGCGTCCCTGCGGTTTGGGCCTGGCTGGGTTGGGGAGTGGAGCAGCCGGCGGACCTGGGCAAAGTCTCTTTGTCTGCGGAGTAAGGGGGTCTCCCTAGGAGTGTTGTCTGCGTCTTGGGAGCCCTGAAGAGGCGATTCAAAAATCCTTGGCCCGGGAAGAGGGGTCTGGGGGAGGCAGAGCCCAGCTTCGAAAATGGAGAGTCAGGTCGGGATGGCGAGTTCTGGAGCCTTTCCTGGGTGGGGGCGGGGCGCCTGGCGCGGAGGTAGGGATCCAGGCTCCGCGTGTACACGCCTGGCTTGTGGGCCCCCCCTCCCCCCCCGCAGTTTCCTCCTCTCTCCTAGTTCTTTTTGCGAGGAGGTGGACGCAGAGGCGGGAGAGCAGGGGACATCTTGGAAGGGTTGAGGGACTGTAAGACAGAGGCTGGGGAGTGGAAGTGAGAATGGTTTCGCTTACTCTCCGCAGAGTGTTTCCCTGGACCGCAGGGACTTGCCCCGCCAGCGACCCGGAACCTTCGGGACCCGCGGGCCAAGAAAAAACCTTTCCCTTGCTTTCCTGCCGGGGCTGCAGAAGCCGGGCGAATTCAGCAGGAGGTAGGGCTCCAGGCGCCAGGACCTCGGCTAAGGGCGCAGTGGCCACCCAGAGAGGGCGCGGACTCCCACGGGCTCCTGTGGTTCCCGCCCACTCTCCAGCGAGCGCTTTTGTTCCCTGAGCGTGCCCTCGGGATAGACAACCCTTACCCCAGCCATCGACGACGGAGAGCCCAGTGCCTGACCCGGCAGCCTGAAGCCCGAGTTGCTCCTGGCAAGGTCCGCCAATAACGGGTAGGAGCCACGACTCCGGGTTCAGCCTCCGAGCTCAGCCAGAAGATTGAGCGCTGGTCGTCTAGCGCCACCAGGCGCGCAGTAGCAGTCTAATGACTATAATGTTAATGGTACAGTTACAGAGGGGCTGGAGAATCGGAACTAAGATACCACCCCCACCGCTGCCCACGTCTTTGATCGTTAAAGAAACAGGCCCCTAATCAGGTGGGTGGAAGTAGGTGTGAGAAGAAAGAGATAAGGTTTCAAGGACTCAGCGCGGGGTCCCCAAATGCAGAATCTGTAGAATCCGGGCTGAGGATTTTTGGCGAAGTTGGAGTATGGACCCTAGACAGACCCAGAGCCGACAGCTGAAGCTCCGGGCAGTTTTTTGCAGAACTATCTCTAACTTCGACGTTGCGGACCCTGACGGTCCCAAGGGTGGCGTGGGTCGAAATCCAGTAGATCCGGGCATGGGCTTCTCTGGCTCACTTCAATTAAGGTGTCTGACCGAGTCCTGGTTCGCGCCCGCCCCCTGCTGGACACTGATTGCCGGGTGCCGAGGACGGGACGGGGGAGGTGGAGGCGGAGGTGAGGGGGTTGGGGGGATGGGGGGGATGGGGAGCCGGGCCAGAAGGGCTTCCGCTGAAATCCCCGCGCCAAGGCCTACGCGGCCCCCCGCGGGGCAATGCTCCGAAGTGGGGGACTCTTAACTAAGGCACCAAAGCTTTGTTTCTCATGTCCATCCAGCAAAAGTTCGTCCCAGGAATCTGCAGCCTCCTTACCTGACTAACAGCACAGCCTCCGCTGTGCACCCTACTATTTCCAGGGCCCAGACACAATATAGGCACCATCTGAACATCCGTGAACGCATAGTCCCTGGCACAAATCAATGCACTTAGTCCTCCTGGGACAGAACCTTCCTGTGCCTTCCCCAGCCTCCCCCTGGCGTGAGCTCTTTCTCTCTGAGCCCTGTTTGAAGCCCTAGAAGACTGTCCCTAAGTCTCATGACTTTGTCAGGGACTATAAATTGTCTGAGATCTGAAAAATAAAGTCTTTGGGCTCTAAGAGAGGAAAAGAAACCTGCAGTTGGAAGTAATGGATATTTGATTAAGGCTCAGCTGCAACCATTGCACGCAGAATTGTACATGCCTTGCATTTAATGCAGCATATGGGTGGTTTAATGGATGTGTCTAAAAGAGCCAGGAGGGCATCAAATATGCCCAGCATGGCAGCCTGCTCAGAAGACCCTCCCCATAGCTGCCCTATAACCAGAATCTCCACTCAGTGCTTCCCACCTTTCAGCTTCTGTAGTCCTGTCCCCTGGCCCCGCCCCCCCCCCCCATACAAATTCACAGTGTTCCCTTTCAAAAGCTGCTTTCTTTTTCTAACTTCCAGTGGAAAGCCCACTCCTTTGGGAAGCCAGCCTCTGTTTATAACCTCCCTCCTACCTTCCATTTCATCTTTCCCTTATATACACTTTACATACTGATTAGGAGGAAAAGTTCTATCATCAGACTTCACCATATACTAGCTGCGTGACCTTGACCAAGTTACTTAACCTCTCTGTGCCTTAGGAAAAAAAGGGTGTACATAAGAATAACAATGTTATTGGGTTGCTATGGAGAATAAATGAATCCATGCATGCAAAGCTCCTAGTACCTAGCACTCAGAGAGTGCTCAGAAATGAGCTATTATTTTTTTCCTTTTCCTTTTTTTAAATATATTTTTATTGATTTCAGAGAGGAAGGGAGGGAGATATATAAATATTAATGAGGAGAGAGAATCATTGATCAGGTGCCTGCTGCACACTCCACACTGGAGATTGAGCCCCTAAACCGGGCAAGTGCCCTGACCAGGAATAGAACCATGACCTCCTGGTTTATAGGTCGATGCTCAACCGGCTGGGCTGAGCTATTATTTTTTCAACAATAGTTATAATTTGCCATCATTATTGCCTTGCAGAGTTGAGTCCAGATAGGATGAGATGTTCTGCTGCAGATGCCTCCACATGCTTCTGTCCTGACTCCCCCACAGGGGAAGGACCTTGGCCCTGCCCTCAAATGTCTCTCTTCACTCCCCAACCCTCTCCCCCCACCATGGTATAGATAGCAATCAGAAATTACTATTAAGATTTATAAAGGTTTCTAGTCTGAGATACTTCAAACTAGATTCTGATGCTGTGGCTGTCTCCAGTGCCCCTATATGTGAAGGGAAGCTTGGTGGAAGGTTTTTAATTAAAACCACAATCTGTTTAAGTATTTATTGGGTTCTGTGATTTTAATTATTTTCTAGGGGGGGGAAATCCACATCTGCATATGGGAAGACTGTTGATTCAGAGGAAAGTAACAACCTGTGGCAGTTTGCTGGAGGCAACTGGGAAGAATTTCCTGAATTGTTCAAATGAAGCTTGACATTATTAATAATCTGGATCCAGTCTATGACCTTCCTCCTAGTGCTTTCAAGAAATTAGCTTAACATGCTGGCAAGGCCCATTATTGCCATCACAATTAACGACAGCTCTTCTAGTGGCATCTCCTGTAGGTGTAATTATCTCACTGAGATGAGGAACTCCTGCCTGGAAAGGCAGCACTCCTGCCTGTGAGGGGCAACAGGCTTAGCTGTTCTTCCCAGTGCAGGCGCCCACTGGCTCTCTCTCCAGAGGCGAGTCCCCTCCATAGAAGGGTGAAGGGAAGGGAGGGCAGGGAATCATTTCAGATGCTTTGTCTGCAGCAAACAAAATTCCCATCTTAAACAGCGAGAAGCAGGGCTGGTAGACTGAATGATATCAGCAGGCTCAGATTCTCTGTGTCTCTCCTCTGCCACCCTTAACAGGGTTTGCAACCTGAGACTGTGTTCTTTGGTGCCATTGGAGGGCTCAGCGGCAGCTGGGTCACATGCTTATTGGTTACAGACTGGTGGATAGAGAGACTGGATTCGTTCCAGAAGCCATAGCCTCTTCTTAGGTCGTATCAACACATTGACTTAGGTCTCCCCATCTCTGAGCCAGTCACTGGTAAAAGGGATGAATTTATTGGTTAAGAGTAATGATCATCTAGTCCTGAAATGGATGTTGAGTAGTCAATTTTAATAGTCACTATAAGTAAGAAATCCCCTTTAAAAAGAAGTGTTGGGAAATTGCATGATTAGAGTAATCTAATATTGTGTCAAAATGAATTTAAATGAGACTGGCCATAATTATAATGAACCATATTAGACACCTCCTTATCTGGAGATAGACCAGTCTATGTCCACAATGTGTGAACAGGATCAGTGCTCAAGGCATGAGCAGAAGCAGGGCTCAGTGCATAACCAGGGTTGGGGTTCAGTGTGTGAGCAGGATCAGAGGGCTCTCTTGGATAGACATACATACAAACAAACTAGAGGATTCTCTGCTTTCACAGAATTCTTGAAAGGGTAAAAATGTGTTCTTGGAAATGCCCATGCTGGGATCCAAAGCTATATTCAGAGCAATAAAAGCTTCAGTCTTCAGTTGAGTATTTATGAACAGGAGACATTTATGAACTCAAAGATGTTCGTTCCTACCTGACTTCACATCCTGAAGATGTTACCTGGTCCAAGCACTTTACTGTCCAGATGGAAAACAGAAGGGAGAATTTCTCCCTGGTCTATAGCAAGTGGGGAGGCAGCACAAGGCTGCCGGCTCCACAGACTCACTGTGTGGTCTTCGGCAGCTCCTAAGAATGGGTTGGATGTGCTCTGAGGGCCTTTCCCTTTCAGTGCTGTTCCCTGACACCCTGGTCCTTGGGCGCTTCGGCTTTAGGAGAAGCCAATTTGAGGACGAGTTGGGGCTTCTGGAGGCCTCCACCTGGGCTTCCCGCAGGAAGATGTCTTTATCCCCTGGCAGTTTCCTTGTTTTCCATTCCATCATACTTCATCTGCCTCATCTAGTGAGGTCATCGCACACCTGGGCCCAGGAGCTAACCCTCCCCCTAAAACTATGGGCTGGGTTGGGTGGGGGTCCTCCTGCTACAAAACAGTTCCTGCAGGCCCTTCATATAGCAGGATTCGGCAGGGGGGGTAGAAGGGGGACATCATCAGAGATAAAATCTGATTACTGAATAGGTATATGGGCCCAGGAAGGAAGGTCAAGTCTGCCAGGAGCTCCCAATGCAGAAGGAAGATAGACTTTCTGCTCTGCCACCTCAATTCTCTGTTGCCTGGTGCCATCAGGGGACACAATAAACACAGATTCTGAGACTCATCCAAGGCAACGGACAAGTTCAGGAGTTCTCTGCCTGTCGTGTCCCAGGATGCTCTGTGGGGAAATCACACCTCAAAGTTTGTCCTGATTTAGGCAAGGTAGTGATTTCAATGAACTCACAGCAATCAGACACTGACCAGGGAGTGCCCTGGGGAGGGAAACTTCCAGGCATTTCCCTCTCTGTGCCTGTAGGCAATGAGCTCCAGTAGCCCAAGGGCAGGCCTGGAAAGGAAGTTGCAGGTGTGAGTTGTCAGAAGCAAAGCACACAGAAGCCAAGGGATGGGCATGCAGAAATGGGTCAGCTACGTCATTCATTGCACAAGTAGTGATTGAGCCTCCCCATGTTGCCAGGCATGGGTGCAGCTATGAACCAGGCAGACGGCAACTCTGCTCTAAGAGACATTACAGGCTCCTGCACCTCTCAGCATGTTCAGGCCTCCTTTGTGTGAACCTTGGGGATTCTGGAAGGCTAGCATCCCCAGGACAGGCTCCATCTGCTTCAGTAGGTGACCTACCTGGAAAGACATCCTGCACCGACTGTAGTGAATAGGGAGCTGTCCAGAGTCACAGAGCATCAGAGCTTGGAGCCTGGAGGTTCTCTACCCCTACTCCTTCACTTTATTGGAGAAACTGAAGCCAAGATGGAGGTCACAAGTAGGTAGGACTGTGAAATGTCCCCAGTGCGCAGCTTCTCTGGTCCAAGACAGGCCAATCTTGGTGGCCATCACTGACCTTGGTTTAAAGGCCCTTGAGACTCTCCAATGAGGCCTCTCTGATGTTTTTTTTCTGGATGGGACAGGTGGTCCACTTCAGGTCTGTATTAT